CTACTAACTTCTGGACAAATGGACGGGTCGAAAATGATCACTTTTCATCCATGCATTTATAGAGGGAAATTGTATAAAATGGAATTACATGCAACCCTTTGTTCTCATTGATAGGTAATCCTGTATGCACAGTTGTTCGGCAGGTTCATGAAATCTTGCCTGTGTCAGAACGTGACCACCCAAACTGTGCTCGAGAAGTTCCCTGGAAATCAGGGGCATACGTCATAAGTGAAATTCCCCAGTGCATGTTCATAGGTCAAAAGTTTCCATTTTCTCCTCTACATTACTTAGAAGTTTGAAACATTTATTCCGAAACATCATAAAGGGAGTCGCTTTTCTGACGTCATTGTTCATAATAATTTGTACAATCCACGTTGTCGTTAAGGTAAGGGGAAATGCAGTACAATACCTACATAAATTGAAATTTTACTGTAACTAATCTTCTGGGAAAATCTCTATCATTCTTGAAATATAAAAAAGGGTCTGACCGATGCAAAACGTAAATATCTACCAACTACCTAACCTTACCAGCAAACACTTATATTATTATCAAAGACTTCTGAAAAAACACGATTCAAAACAAATAATTACAAGCCACTCGCGTGTCTTACCACTTCCCCAACGTGAGTTCTTGTATCATCAGAAGGGTAACTTCATTTCACGAAGATTAATCTTGGCATTCGAAACGATTATAACGAATTATACTTCACACGTCAGAATTAAATATTATAAACATTCGTTGAAGGCAGCTCGAAAGTAAACACTGGATAATCGCGAAGATCGCAAACAGATGGCTTAATTTATTAGGTAAAACGTTGTTTTTGGTCGAGTATTTTAGATATGTAATCACAAATAGAATAAAATAAAATAAAAACATATGGTCCAAATTACAAAAGAACACTAATAATTGACAAATACTGACGCACTGAAAGAATGCTGGCATGATCCAGAATCACGTATTTTCCTTGCAGGTGATTATTTGGATACATTTTAAAAAGTGACAATTTCAAAAGAGTAACTCGTTCCTGAACCGAGTGTTTGCTCGAAAACCTAATTTCCGAATCCCTTAACGATGAGGGAGAAGCAATCGCTCTACTCCTGCTCTACTATGGCAACCACACAAATTGGAAAAGTAAAGAAAACATCCCACAGTTTGTTTTCTTGATGTCGTGTATCCCAAAATTAACATTTGACACACACTCAGCGGACTGTAATACCAAAATCTTACAATCCGACGCTCTCCGAAGAAGAAGTTTTAAACTGACGTCTCTCTAGTAATCGGGTGTCACATAGGACATACAAGCTGTGCACCCACAATGCAATGCATTACAAAAAAACAACGTATTTTGGCATTCATAATGCTCTCACTTTCCCACATAATACACACGATACGTTAATATTCCGAAAAAGATAATTATTCTATACCCGGCATAGAACCACGGATTTCGTTGTTCTTTTTGTTTGTTTGTTTGTTTGTTTGTTTGTTGTTTTTTTTTAATGTTTTTCTGATCAGGATTAAGGCAACCCATTTCGCCCAACCCAAAAACGTAATTCCAACGATAAATGGAAAACCATAAGAATTTTTCGTAGTAAGACGGATGCGTAAAGCTACACAATGTTATATTTAGGATAATCTACGAATATAGAGTTCAACCCCCTCAAAAAGCTTTCTTGAACACTTCAGACCACAGTACGCAGTTTGACGCACTCGCGCGCAGAAAGCAGCGAGTTGGCCGTCGGCGGGCGCGTAGGCGCGGCCGAGGGCGCGCAGCCGTCACTCACGCCGTGGGCGGCTGCAGCGTCGGCGCGATGAGCCAGCAAGCTCGCGCGCACGTCGTCCGACTGCTGGAGGCGAGCGTGCTGTTTGAGGTCGAAGGTCCGAGCCGCTCTCGGAGAGCGTGGAGAGCGCGCTGCCCACGCGGGCGCAGCTGGGAGCGGGGGGGTGCGCGCGACCGGCCGGGCCGGGGCGCTGCGCGGGCGCGGGCGGGGCGGGCGCGAAGGCGCCCACGCGCGCGGGGGCCGCGCCCCCAGCTCCCGGCTCCTGCGCGCGCGTCCGCATCGCCGACACGCTGCACCACGCCGCCGGCCCCGATGCAATCTGCAGCTTGGACTAGAAGCCCTGGCCGGGTCGTACGACACGTGGAATACATGAGTGTGCCGGCCGACTGGATGTCGATGGCGCCTGCGGCTCGGACCGCCGCGGCCGCAGCGTCAGGTTGACGGAGTGTAGGAGCCGCGGTGTGCGCGGCGAGCGGCCGCCCGCGCCGGCAGGCGCGAGCGGCGCGTGGCCCGCGACGGGCGCGCGGGCGCGGGGCGCCCGCCCCACGCGTGTGGCCCGTAGTGCGCGCGGGCTCCACCGTGATGCGGCGCGCCGGCGCGCGGCTTTTGCGCGGGGCGCGGGCCGGGCGCGTGGGGCGCGGCGGGCGAGCCCCGCGCCCCGCCCCGCCGACCCCCCGCCGTCCGACGGCCGCCTCGCCCCGGCGACTTCACCACGTGCGTGTGCGAACCGAAACCCCGTCACGTTCACCGAGGAGCTGCCGCCGCCGCGCCACCGCTACAGTTCACGTTGCACCTGTAACTGTACGACGGTCGGTCGGTGTACAACCGGGTGACGACGTTTGTCGCGCGCGGCGGCTGGCTTCGCTTGGGCGCGCGAGACCCGGCAGCTGGCCGCCGGCCCCGCCGCCACCGCCGCCGCCGCCCCCCGTTGTGAAATGCACTGAACCGCTGCAAAGCGTTCAGGTTGCCGGAGCGCTGGTAGAGCGCGGTTAGGCACGCCCGGGAGCGACGCAGCGCTGCGCAGGCGGCGCGGTGCGGGGCTGGGCTGCTTCGCGAAGGCCGGAAGTGCGGTGCCCTTGTGGAAGGCGTGGAAGATGCGGCGGCGCGGCGGCGCCGATGCGCGCGGGGGCGGGCCCGCCCTTGCCTGCCGGGGCCCGGGCCGGGCCGGTCCAGGCGGCCCACGTTGAGGGTGGTGGGCGCGCACACCGGCCGCCCGGCACCCGCCCCCTCCTTCAAGCCTCTCTCGACCACTCTCACTCCGACAATCGCGCGCCTCCCTCGCACTCGCCATGCCCCCCCGCCCCGCCCCTCCTCCCGCACTGCATCTCGCACTCGCGGGGCGCGCGCCGGCCGTCGCCCCTGCGCGCCGGCGTCCGCCCGTCGCTCGGGGGCGTTGCGGCGCGCCGCCTCCGCAGCACTCGCGCTCGCGCCCCCGCCCAGGCACAGGCGCAGGCGCGCCGCCAGCGGGCTCTCGGCCTCGCTGCTCGACGACGACGACGGCGACGTCGGCGCGTCGTCGTCACTCTTCAGAGCAAGACGGGTAACTGTGCACAGTAGCCTGGTTCTGCCCGCCGCAGGATCGCCTCGCACCCTCCTTGTCATAGAGATTCTGCGAAAACACACGGCCCGCCACACGCCTCGTCACGCTCACAGCTTTTAAGCGTTCACCCGCTCACGTAAGATTGCGATTGACACTTGCATACACGAGTGTCACGCTAGTAACGCAAAAAAAAACAAACTCCACCAGCATGAGAGACTCAGGGCTCGGTTTCCACGGAACCCGCCAATCACCTCCTTTCCCAAGCCAGCGTACACAAACGCATCGGTTCTTCCCACACGATTCATGTACAAGTGCAATCAAAAACTTATTTCAGTGGGAGAAACATCACCAAAAAACACAACGGTACTCGTTAATCACTACCACAGAGACATGAACCAAAACATAAGATAGTATTCTGTTAAACACCTACATCATCAACTAAAACACTCACTTCACAGCGTCAACAACCTACGGCGCATCACTATGACGATGACACACAACCACGCGTACGAGTCAACACACACAGCCATGAGTGCCTGTAGCCCAAATAAGCGCCATGTCTACCGCTACAACATTGGAAACTTCTTCGGGCGTCGTTCAATTCCCTTTTTAGGAATCGTATAATTAAAAAAAAAAGTTTTATGAAAAAAAAAAAACATCAAGTAACGTTAATCATCAGATTCAAAAACATCGCATTAGATCAGAACCGCTTCGTAACGTCAACAACGTCCGAACGAAAGCGCGACGGCAGCAAGCGGCGCCGACCACTCCACAGCGGAGGCGCGCGCTCTGGAGCGGAAAGTGTTGGCGCGGACGTCACGGGCGCCGCGTCGCGCCGCGTCGCGTGCGGTGCGTCACACGGTCGGGCGCGCGGAAGCGGAAGCACGTCATCGGCGACGAGCTCTCTCGCGCCTGCGCCGTCGCGTCGCTGCTTCGAGAGCTGCACTCGAGGGGCCGTGCGGCGTGCGGTGCGGTGCGGTGCGGTGCGCGTGCGGTGGCGCCGCGCGCCTGCCACACTGCACGAGAGCGACGCGGCGCGGTGGCGGCTGCGGCCTGGTGGCGGAGGGGGAGGGAAGGGGCGGCCTCGAGCTGCCACGCGCGGCAGGCACCGCTGGTGGTGGTAGTAGTAACAGCAGTTTTATGGCGTAGTAGCGGTGATGGAAATGGTGGTAGTAGTCGTGGAACAGGTAGTGATGGTGATGTGGACGATTTGCAGAGGGTGGACGAAGGTGATTTGACGCGAATGGTGTAGGTTGGGCATGTCGTTGGTGACGTGTGGCTGACCGTTGAGCACCGTGGTCTAGAGTCAATGGTGCGCGGGGTGCGGCGGTGGCGGTGGCGAACGAGCTGTGGTGGCTGGCCGTGGGGGGAACGGGGCGATGAAACAACGTGGAGAGGTGGCGGTGAACCTTAGTGAAAAGAGGGCTGTCTCGGTGGGGACGGGTGCAGGGGAAGGGGGGAACAAGGCATCGGCGGGCGTAGTGCGTGGCGATGGGGAGGAACCCAAAAGACTGGAGGGTGGGGGAGGGGAGGGGAGGGCGGAGGGAGGAGCAATGCGGCGACCGCTCCCAGCTGCTCGGCCTGCGCGCCCACGCGCCACGGGGCTTTTCCCGCCGGGAAGCCCGCGAACAGCTCTTTCCTCCTCAGGTCGTGCGCGCACCACTCCCACAGGCCCTACGGACTATCTATCTCGAGGCTTCAACATTTCCACGTCGATTCGGGTAGAAATGATGCGAGGATGTCTCTAAGAAATAAGTGGTATGTATTTATTTATTTTTGAAAATTTGATTAAAATTCTCTGAATTAATCCAAGTAAGAAGTATTGTACTAAAGAGAGGAAAATATTAAACGGTATTAAACATAAACACTAGCCATGGCACAAGATAAAACAGAAGAAAATTACATAAAATATTACACCTGGTTGAGGTTCTACGCTCACGAGGGTCATCATGTACAACGGCCGCGCTAATCCAATCGCTTCTGGTCATAAAATGAAGAATAACTCTACTAATAATATTCATCAAACTTTACAATTGTTTCAAGGAACATTATTCATCGTTTACGAAATGGTAGTCAATAAACTGAAACAGGAAAAACGATAGGCGGGTTTAAAAATACTATTTTGAAAGCTCCAATTGCTTCTCCCTTTTGGATTCATTATTACATTTGCGAGTTTACGACTTTCATTCCCTACGATATCTGGAAAAGTTGTGTAATATGCGATATAACGTACTTTCCCCAAAAAGTTTCTGCCCGAACTCTAATTATCATTTGTGTCAAGTCCATCAGTTCTCTGTAGTTAAAAATGTACGGAGAATCCCCCAATAGAAAACTTTTTTGACGCCAGTTTTACCCACCTCATCAAAATCATCTGCATTGCTCTGCTTCCTTAATTTCGTATAATATATTATGTACCGACAATGATTACAAATGCAACACACTCGCAATAAATATGTGCGATATTTGCGAAAACTACCTGAAAATTAACACATTACAATGCAGAGTACTGAAGTAAACAAGCGCGTGTATATAGTCGCTCGAGAGATTTCTAAGAGTTCTAAACCCGAGCACATAGCAACTTGTCGGTAACTGTCACAAGTGCATGCATGTTCAACTGTACATTTCAAATTGTATTGTGCTAAAACCACAATTCTTACAACGAAGAATTCGCGAATAAGACGACAGGACAACGACGACGGCTGTAAGTGCAATTCTCGGTAGGCGACTATACACGAAGGAGAAAGCTTACACCTTGTGTCGTTCTCTTTTCTGGGCACGTGATCCCAATTGTGGGCTTTCTTCGCCCGTAAGATAGATGGGGTGATAAGGAGAGGTGAAAGATGACAGGTGAATGATTATGAATGGGATGGTGGTTAACGTGAGGTATATGGTGACATGAGAAACCTGACACGCCAAAATAAAGTGTTTAGAACAACCCTCCTTCACCCACTTTCTCTAGAGACCTCAAGTGTATTATTTCCGTATAGGCGGGAAATTAAACTGCCACTCCACTGCATCCGACAACTTCTCCGCAGCCATTCACCGACACTCAGTGTCACAGTAGGAAAATAAAAGCAATCTTCAAGAACAAAAGTTTTCATTTTACCAATATTCATGTTCCCGTAAACTGATACAAGCAAAGTTCGTGTGTTTAACGATATAAACATTGTTTATCCTATTACACCCATGTTTAAACATGTCTGAAATAAGGAAGAATCAATATTTTAATATTTAATGCATAAAGTTAAAAACAAAAGGAAAAAATATATCCCGTTTTTAACATACTCGCGCTTACCTGGTATATTTTTAGGGCCACTAAAAAACTGTATATATTAGTAGCAAAAAAGTGAGCTGATTATTAATTTATTTTTCTTTGTGTAAGATCTCAATATATCTGCGAGATACGGTATTCTGTTCATTTCGCACACTTCCAGACAATTTCCAAAACAAGCATACCTTTTCAATTAGCCTTGTTGGTTTAGCTCGTTTAATCACGCGAGAGAACGATGTAAAGTTACGTAAACTGTCCTTATCGCACAAACTGTTCGCCTGCCCGGTATCAACATTGTTTAATTGGCAGATATTTTTATCTAACGCCTTCCCGTGTTCTCCTTTCTAGGAACTGCCGACCAGCAAACAATGACAGTATCAGGACACAAAGCACACCTTTCCTTATCGCCAATAGCCCGACAATATCTGCGTGGCGTATACCATTTAATTAAGTGTAATGGAAGGCATTTTGAAAAAATAATATTCCTGATCGAACTGAAGAGAGATACCAATAAAAGAGTAAAATCTATGCAGAAAGTGACAAAGGGAATGTTCTTAAGGAATTCTTTTTAACTGGACTTTCTGAACTAGGGCAAGTTTCGTGCACTGTACTTAAGATAATTCAAAAGACTTAATCGAAGTTTTATCACATAATTTCACCGATATTTCTGTCTTTGACACATTCTACACATGTCATGTCACGACAGCTATTGTTTGGAGGAATTTTAGTAAATTCTTACATTGGCTACTCATATCTCACCACATAATTATGAGTAACAGAAGAGCTAACTATGGGTTTAGGTAATATATTCTTCCTTAGCCAGACGAAGCTGGCGGCTTTATCTTTTGAAGATAATAATAACTCCTTATTAAGTCACTACGAACTTTTGATA